ACACACACACACACACACACACACACACACACACACACACACACACACACATACACACATACACACACTCTTTTTGCTTCTCCTAAAAACCTTGTATTTTGACAAATGACAATAATGAATGAAGTCAGCTATACATAAACAGTCTCACGTCCTTGACTGCACTGAACTATCAATACTAAATGATATTTATTGTAAGGGTAAAAGTAAAGTTTAATCTCCTATGTGTTTATGCATTGCGATAATCAAAGCGCTGCTGTTTCCAGTTCCTGTAAGACACATTTCTTGTTTGGTCAGTGAGAAATCCTCCTTCCCCCTTCCTTCCCCCAGGAATCAATATATCTATTCATCATCATCCAGTGCCAGATCTGCGATCATTGTGCTCCATTCATTCCTTTGCTCGGATATATATCTAATACAACTCTCATCACATTTCTGAAAAAAATGAGTTAGTAAGAAGTCTCATTTTCACAACGACACATAGTGGCAGGAGGGCGCAACTGGTAGGTAGGGCCTACTTCTTTTCCTTCTCTCTGTTGTCTCTGTCTGTTTGTCATATACATTCCCAGCACCGATAACGATTGGTCGCTTTTAAGGACAAGCGGGCTAACTCAGGTTTCGGTGGTTTCCAGAAATCTTGACCTGCACCAAAAGTGGGCATTTCCCTACCTATAGGAGAAGTTTGGTTTCATCAGTGTGTATATTTGTTTGGTTATAAAGAAAACTCTCCTTGTTTTTCTAAAGAAACTGAACAAGGGTCGAAAAACTTTACCTTCGATTTTCTCAAAACAACATTTTTCGGGATAGCCCCCTTGAGCTGAAAAGTGACCGATTTTTATCATGTCAATGTGCTTCTCTTTACTCAGGGCTCACGGTAGCTCAGAAGGCACCATACTGGACTACTGAGAGTGAAGTGTGCAGACAAAAAGAGTTACTTCTCGGATTCAAGCCTTATAGAAATAGACACATCATGCTTATAAGTGAAGTTTTACAATGTATAAGTATGAAATAATAAGAGGAATGTTATACATAAAAATAGAGCACCAATAGAAGATCTACTAATTTGACCTCGGTGTTGATTTTTTGCCAATATCTCCATTTGTGGATTGCGAGAAGTAACTCATTTTGCCAGCACGCCATACTCATGGTCCTCAGAGCAGGGAGTGAGTTTAATAACCTAACGAGTGTTGTAATTAAATCTATACAGGGACAATCTCTTCACTCAAAAAAGCAAAGTGGGTGGTTGGCGGGTGCTCTGGTGTGGTATGCTTCTTCTTTTTTACTTTTGGTACTCTTTTGTAACACCTCTTTTCTTCTGGCGCTCATATGACCGTATGCAGTTGCGAGCGCCGTAAAACCTCTACTAAAACTAAACTAAACTAAAACAAGCAAACAAAGGGGCGTTCAATCTATACAGTGACAATCTCTTCACTCATAAAAAAACAAACAAACAAACAAACAAACAAAAGACTCATCGCTTTGGGCGTTTTTTTGTGGGGGGTTTTCGGCAGATCCAAGTGAGAGCGGAGGACAATGGACAGCCGACCTCTCTGACAAAGTCTCTGACCATGAAAGTGGTGCTGTTGGACATCGACGACAACGAGCCCAGCTTCGCGGGACTGGGGCGGCCCTACGAGATGAGGGTGAAGGAGGAGGAAGAGGACGCCGAGGTGGGCATGGTGGTCAGACCAGTTGACCCAGACTCCAACCCCAACAACTCCAGGATCTGCTTCTACCTCTACGGTAAGAAATAATCTCTATCAATAAGTCCGAAGATGCCCCCCGGGGCAGTGCCACTAACTGTAGTGTTTTAGGCCATTCCCAAAAGGGTGACATTTCTCGTTCAAGCACAGTAGAATTGTAAATGGGCTGATTCATGTCACGCTCATAACTGTGCCTGTTCTACAACAAGGAACTGCTGCTTTTTCTTTCCTAATCCTTACTATTGTCATTTTCACTCCACTTCTTTTACATGTTTGTCACTCTCTAGTGACCTGCTATTTCCAGGGTGCCTTGATAGTCAAAGCAGACCTTGTGCTGTTGAAGCTAGAGAGGTGAGCAGAATAAGTCTGATTCCCTGTAAAGACTTCTCTGTTGACAACCACCTCTTGGCGCTCATATTATGACCTTATGCAGTTGCGAGCGCCGTAAAACCCTCGACTATAAAGAAAAGTCCGAAGATAAGTTGCACCACGCTATTTTTTTTTATATTGATATCGCTTTTAAAAGCAAGTCCGTCATTTATTGTTTCTTACTGGACCACGAGATAAGAACAGCACATCCCAGTGCGTTCAAACATTCATGGCGCAACTTATCTTCAAATATCTTTTTAACGGGTGAATCAGTGTCACCTCGCCCATACTTTGCACAGCAGTTTGTATCAATTTGTCTTAACTTAATCATATTTTACCACAACAATAGAGGCTGGATTAAAAAAACGTTTTTTCATAAATTTGTATAAAATGCTACAAATCTCCTTCACGCAGAAAATGGTATTTATTGTTCACATCACTTGCCGCTCCTCACACACATTTTGCGCACGCATATGGATTACGTCACAGCTCTCCAATGGCACTTTTTAGTAGAAAAACTAATTGCAAGAAATTAATTAGTGAACCCTTTTTTAAACTAAAAGCGCTAAAAGTTCTCAAAATATGCGTTCAATAAACATAATCTAGCAAATAGAAACAAAAGACAGACTTGCTTTTAAAAGCGATATTGTCCCAGCTGTAAACCTTTTTAAATCTGTAGAAACCACCCTCTGGGATTTTTTTATTAATATCTATTAAGAAAATATCTAGAATAGAGTTAACAGGTGTTTACAATAATATTGATCTGTTAACAGAAATTGATACAAGTCACCTTTCAAAAGCTGGAGAGTTTATGTTCGATAATTGAGGAGATATTTGACAATAAGTTGCGTCACAAATTTTTTACCTCACTGCAATAGTTGTTGTTGTTGTTGTTGTTGTTGTTGTTGTTGTTGTTGTTGTTGTTGTTGT